GTTACTACTAGTAGTAGGATTTGCTATTTCATGGCTTGGCTTCGGATTGAATGTGTCTGTCTGTACGATAGAACCTCTGGTACATAAATTAACTTCCCTGTGGGTGTATATATTCTATGTACAGAATATACGTACTAGTAGTAAGCGGAGAGAAACAATCGTTATCGTTTCCTCGTTATATGTACACGTCGTGGCTAGCCGGCTGGTTAATGGCTAGCTGGTCAGCTATTAATTCTCGCGAGCCCGCTGCACAGCAGCCTCAATGAGCCGCTTGTACCCACGGACCGCCTCCTCCAACTGTCCGACAGTGATAGCCTCGTTATCACCATGCGCAACATGGATACTACCCGGGCCATACAGATAGCGCTTAACTCCCTCGGAGACCTTCAGGTTCGGCACATCCGTACCATAGTTCACCGTGGTGATCTCGAATCCGGGGACGTCTGTGTCCAGGTCCTGAGGCGCGTACCCACCAGCATACGCAGCAAAGTCACAGTACACATGCTCGTCACCACCAGTGGCATTTCTCACCGCACGTGCAACAATCTCCCTCGCCTCGTCGGGCGTCCCCGCCGCCAGACGGATCGCCACCTCAGCGATCGCGGACGAGGGCACTACGTTGGCCGCGACGCCAGCGTCCACGCGCCCAATGTTCACGGTCGTTTCGCCGTATTTATCGCTTGCGGGCAGTCCGCCCTCCGCTTCTGGGATCTTGCCTAGACGATCGACCCGCGATAGAGCGGGCAGGAGGGCGGAGATGGCACTGCTACCGAGCCAGGGATATCCCGAGTGAGCGGCCTGGCCAGTTGCAATGATGGGGAACTCCAGCATGCCTTTGTGGCCGGCGACGAGGGCCTGCTCGGTGGGTTCACCGAAGATGACGGTATGGTAGGGGGACGGGGAAGGGTTGAGAGTGGAGTTGTCGGAGAAGGTGCGCATGCCGAGGCCACCGACTTCTTCGTCGACAACGAAGAGGAGGCCTAGGCTGGCAGATGGGTTAGATTCGAGTGTCTCGAGGACGGCGAAGATCTGGGCGGCGACGCTAGCTTTGGCGTCTACGGTGCCGCGGCCGGAGATGAGGATGTTGGAGTTGTTGTTTGCGTCATCGTGGAGCCCATAGGGGATGAAGGGGGGTACGGTGTCGATGTGGCTGGTCAGCAGGATTTCAGGGCGGTCTTGGGAAGGCGAGGTGGATGGGTAGGCGAAGATGTTGAAGCGGTTGGGGTCGCCTTTGGAGGATGAAGGAACGGGCTGCTTGATGACGGTGAAGTTGTGCGATTCGAGGAAGTCCGCCACGAAGGTGCCTACGGCCGTCTCGTTACCAGAGACGGAGGGGATCTGGACGATGTCGCGGTGGAATGAGAGGAAAGGCGAAGCGTCAATGATGTCGGACGCGGTGGAGGCGAGGGACAAGAGGGTCTGCGGGGAGGCAGCCGAGGCTACGCCGACGGCCGCGAGAAGAGAGATGGGGGATTTCATGGTTCTAGGTGGCTAAGGGTGAGTGGGAAAGGGTAGAGGCATTCCCTGGATTGGTGATGGAGGTCAATTGGCTGGTGAGAGGGAGACTGTCGAGGGGAACAGGGATGGGGAAGAATTGTTTTGCGATGCTGGGATGAGGAGTCAATGGAATGCAGGATCAATTGAAGCGCGATTTGGAGATAAGCCATTGCTGCCTGAGTATACAGGCAGCATTCAGGCAGGGGTGAGTCAGTCAGTCTGGACCTGCCTAATTGGGGTTTAGTGTCTGGTCACGCCATTCCTTCTAGTAAATGGATCTATCTGTAAGATGGATCGTTTTATAGATCACCAACAGGATACAAAAGGATGCATCTATGTTGCATGCACACAGTACACAGTAATTTTACTTGCTAGATGCACAGAAGAGCAACGAATGGTCCTGCTTGGACTGGTGGTCCACCAACCAACATCATGATGTAGAATCAACTGGAAATAGAAACGATCCGCTCAATTAACTTCTGCAGTCGGCCGACTCGTCAAGAATACCTAAATCTCCTCGAGAATTGGCGGAATGACGTGCCTGGAAATCCCCTTCTTCCGCCGTATACGGAACACCACTGTCCAGCACGTTTTGTCCGATCGCCATCGGGCATCTTTGAGAATGAAGTACTGAGGATAAAACAGGCGGCAACCAACAAACATCCCGACCGTCATTGCCGGCCGTCAACAGATATGCTCACAAAGCATGGCGCCAAGATCCCTTACCGTTGGAGTTTTCCGCGGAACAGCACCGGACTTCCACCCGCTCGAATAACATTCTTGATGCGGTTCGAGCTGGACTGAACCAAGGAAGAGAACATCAGAGTTGAGGGAGGCAAGGTTCCCGGTCGGTTGGCGCTGAAGCCATGTGGATCTGACGTCGGCACCAGACCTTTGAATGCTCACATTCTCACACATACACACACACAGAGGGAGAGACAGAATCACTAATCAAAACTTACTGTAGAAGGCAAGTTGAGGGATCCCATTCTTGTTCTACCTCGTCCCCACCGCTGACTTGGCTCTCGCTTTCTACTGTATAGTAGGAAGTTTACTAGTTAGTTGATACAGAAACAATAGTCTTCATAACAGGAAGGTAGAAAATAATATCATCATCATCAGAACTGGGGGAGCGGTCCAGTACCCAAGCAGTGCCACGGCGAGATTCTCAATCTCTCTTGTGTTCCCTCACGCATTGAAGCACAACAGCACCGGTCACTGCAAACTAGTCATTTTCACACCCCCTGCTGTCTTCCCTCCCTTTTATTCCAACCTGCTGTTCCGTCGGGACTGGTCCGATGTCAAATCTATAGTGTGGGAGAGGATGGTTGATAGGTCGTCGTACTTTCGGAGACTCTAACTTGGTCCCTGAAGGGGTATGACGACGGGGATGAGGGGTCGCACAGCGCGTTCACAAGCAGTAAAGGAATGGAGCTCTGTCTATCCGATGGGGGATGCTCTGTGTTGGACCAGTCGAGTCGGTCAGAGTCTAGACAACTTCCTCTCCAGTCCCCACTACCCTCTCTGGGTTCCCTTGTTCGTCCGGCTTCTCTGTCCGTCTCCATCCTCGCTTGCTGTGTTGGAGACGGCGCCGATGCGCAGCCGTTGAAACCTGTCTGAGGGAAGATTCAGACATTCACCACCCACACCCACACACAAAACACCAACACAAAACGGCAAATTGGGACTCATCATTCGATGCTAGTTCTTATTTGAACCATCCCAGTCGACTCTGTTGTCGAGCTGCTCACGGATTAGTACATACGAACACTACCACAACTACCAACTACACTACTTTCCGGAGTAGCCATTCGACCGCGTGTCTTCTCCGACCCACGATGGCCACAGAAGCCCAAAGAACAATTGCGAGCCATGGCCACTGAGGCCCGATCCATGGTTCCCCAGCCACGGAGCGAAACGGAGCCCTCACAAGCCTGTCTAAGTTAGTGTAAACCCGACGATCATCCTGACTGTGGTTAACTGGTTCCTCTGGTTCTGTGGTTTCAGCCGGTGGGTTCTGGTTTTTCTCTTCTCTAAAATCTTTTCCCTGTTTCCTTTCTTTTTTCTATTTTTTGCCCATCGACAGCCCTAAAACTGGCCTGTCAGATGGTTGGGTCGACAGGGAAAAATTGGGCCCAGTCAGCAGGCTAGATAGCTCCGATAGAAGGAGAATTTAGTGACGATGGGCTAAGACTGCGATCCAATGGATCAACTGGGGCAACGTTCTAAATGAAAAAGGTCGACTGGATGCTGTCAAAAAAAAGAAAAAACCGGTCTAATTTGTCAAGTGTCACAAGAAGATTTTCATCGCATCGCGGCGTGTAGAATATTAGCTATCAATAATGAAGCAACATTCCTGACACACACACACGCATTCTCTCTTCTCTCGCTCACACTCTTGCGCTGGGTTGTAGACATTGTTGTTATTGTTGATATCTGCCTATACGTGCTTTGTCTGTGCTCCCAGATCTCTTTCATTCTCATCGCCTCCTCTTTTTCCTCTTCTCCTCATCTTTCCCCTCTTCTCGCCCCCTCATCAGTTACTCGACTCTTCTTCTCTTCTCTTCTCTTACTCTATCCTCTCACATCATATCTTCTTATCCTATTCCTATTTCCTAGATTCCTAAAACGCCCTTTCTTCTCCCCTCCGCAAGCATTCCTTCAATATCCTCCCTGTCTACCCTCCAACCTCCCCCCCTTGAGTCGGATCCTGTAACCTCACCGCAATCATCAGCCTCCGATTGACTGCGGCCCACTGAGCTGTCAGCCGCGTCCTTTGGGCTTCACGAACAATCCCGGCCAGTTGTTCGTTGACTGGGTGCTGCGACAGGCTCCACGTCTTGCCTGCCCTACCAGCGCGGACTGATTTTCAGCGTCTCCTTCCTTCAGGCCGTACTTCTTCAAACCGGGCCAAGCCTGTCAGTCAATCAATCAATCTCAAGCAGTCAGCGTCAGTCAGGAAGCCAGTCAGTTGCGCTTTCTCCATCTCTTCTCTGTTCATCAGAGCCTGTCGCTGCTTCTGTTACTGCAAGGCAATCTCGCGATTCCACCGCCACGCCACGTCGTCACAGACCAACCTCGTCCTCGTGAACAATAAAGACGCTCTTCCCGGGGCTCGTGGCATCTCTTTGGTCCGATCGATCGACCTTTCTTTTTTCTTCTCCGTCTCTCCCCTCTCGTTTCTTTGAACCGCCTTTTCTTGGTAGTTCAAACAAACAAAAAAGAAAAATCATTCTCCCCCGCCGGTCTGGGCAATCAATCGAACACCGGATGATGTTCCGTCCGCCTTCAAATTGACTCCGTTCTGTCCTCCCCTGCGTTTCGCGTTGTTCCTCCTCACGTCCGTTTCGCCCTGTTCCGGCACGTGAAGTGGAAGCCTCACCATCTGCGCGATCTTCAGTCACCGCCAGCCTGACTACCACGCTAGTAGTAGTCTTGACTCGTCCATCATGTTAAAACCCGCCCAGTTTCTAGATACCAGACGGCGCGATAGTTTTGAAACCATGGCTGAGTCGTCCCCGTCATCTCGCCAGCCTCCGTCGCCCTGGACCACCACCTCCACGCCTGTTTCACCCGCTGTGTCCCTTTTCTCTGCCAAGGGCCACACGCGTTTTTCCAGCTCGGTTTCGTCCCTGGTTTCATCCCCAGGGCACGGAAACTCGATGGAGAGCTCGTCGCGGAATCCCTTGACAGGAGTGAAGGAAGAACCCTGTGGGTCTCAGCCCAGGGACCTCGAGGAGGATTATTTCCGTATGTTACTTGCCCTTGCTCCCAGCCCCCGTGCCTTTCCTTTTCTCTTGCTTTATTCTCCGATATTCGTCTCCTCGTTCGCTAATCGATTCCTGTCCACAGAACACTTTGACCAAGGTCTCTCGGTCGCCGAGGATTCATACTACGCTTCTTTCGATGCTTCTGACAGCTACGATCTAACGGATGCCGGCATGGATTCTGCACATTCGCCCAGGAATCGACGCTCTGATAGTATCTCCGCCCGGGGCCTTTCGCGCATCGGCTCCCGAATCTCCACCATCTCCACTCGCTGGAAGTCCAAACGTGCCTCCGATGGCCCGGACGGTGCAGATGTATTCGCAACACAGCTGCGTTCCCGCACTAATTCAGCATCATCCGCCATAGCCAGTCCCACTACGGGTTCTTTCACTCGCGTCAATTCGATCCAGGTTCCTCCATCACCCGCCAGGACTATCTTTGAGGAGGCCATCAGCGAAGCCGGCACGCAACCTATTGATATCAGCAAAGCCAACCGGTACAGCCAGGAAGAGGATTCGGCCCCTCAAGCAACGACTCCCCTACTGCCACCGTTTATGGGCGATGAACCATCCTATCAGACCGCGTCGCGCGTCCATTCTCCGTTACAATCCCCTTCAGTAGCCGACAATATGGTAGATGACGGCCCAGTTGTCTGCAGCGCTGTTGCCGATTTGCGATTGGCAGGCTTGCCTTCACCACCCCTCTCGTCCAAGCCATCTGTCGCATCGTTCAATCGTCCACGGGCCAGTACGGTGCGGACTGTCTCGGGAGATGCGCCTCCATTCACGCTCTCCGACCCAAATGACGAGTGGGCGAACAGACTCGGTCATGCCAACTTTACCATCCAGCCGGAGCCTTATGTACCTGAGACGTGTGACCTGGGAACGTTCGGGCAGCTGCGCGCAGATTGGGACCTGGCTCAGTGCAACTTCATGCGCCATCTCGTGCGGACTGGCGAACATTATGGGGTTACTTCCACGATCTACAAGCTCACCGAAGAGAAGTGGGAGTCCATTAATCGCGAATGGCGCCGCCATCATGAGGCGATGCTATCTGAGCTAGAAGTGACAGAGGGTCCCCGTCTTAGTTTGATGAAGTCCCACTGTGACCCTTGCGACCCGGTCAAAATCCCTCGCCTTCACGACAACAAGTTCCCCGAGCTAGGCGATGGCGAGATCGTGGGTCCTATGAAAATCGCTCCAGCAGCGAATGGATCCGGACTATGTCGCACCCGTTCGTTGAAACGCAACTTTGTCAAGTTCTTCCAGGATCTCGTTATACGTTCCTGATTTGACCGCCTTGACACGAACATGGAAACAATTAATGACCATAGACAGACTGCGGGAGGCTTACGATGTATACCATCTTACGACTTTTTCTTAACGCCTCTCGAACGATTGATTCAGCGAGTGATGACTTATGCCTCTCCTATAGTATACACGTTGCGACGGATATGTTTTATCTTTTTTTACCCTGTTTCTGTTCATGATCTGTGATTGCATAATGATGACTGATGACCTGTGCACCTGCGACTACTGACTCGCAGAGTGCAGTCCGTTCCTTAATGTTTGATCTCTCTGCATATGTACCCTCTTCCCCTGTTGTTAAATACTTGTTCGCGCCAACATGTATTGATAATGCTGTACACTGCCCAGCATCTCCTTTGTGTGTGTTCTCTCTGCCGGCGATGCATTCCTTGCGTCATTGTCCTTGGCAGAAAAAGTAACCGTTGGGTTGCACCGTCTAATGACTGGAGAGGAGAAGTCCGTGGACGCAAAGACAGGGGAAAGAGGGGAGCATGAAGCAGAGAAAGAGTTACGATTGTTGAAAGCAAAAGTGGCTGGGTTACCAAGCGAAAAAAAGAAACGAAACCATTGCAAGGGCGCTTCCTGGTGTTCTGTTCTGTCTTATACCCCAAGGCATGGTTCTTCATTCATTTATCCTACTTGAAATTTTACGTTTTGCTGCCCCTTCCACAAAAAGTCAAAAGCATATACCTATTATAGATACATGCCTGTTCTCTGTTTGCGTTTCTGTACACCCCAGTGTATATATACAGATACTACTATTAGATACTACCTAACTAGACCTACATATAACTAACATATTAGTACTACTTACTCATGACTCACCCACTACCCACTCTACCTAATCATGATGCCTTCCCAACGGATAATTATGGTTCCCCGCCCTTGCTTGTCCACATGCAATGCATATGCAGTGTACTTTTGTTTCCCCCTCCCCTCCCTCAATCATACATACAGTAGTAGTATGTATGTATGTATGTAGTCCACAGTTACTCAACACCCCCCTCAAAAGACCGGCCAGCCAGCCAGCCAGCCAGCCAGGGTCAGACTCAGGTCAGACAAGTCGCCTGATGCATACATGCGCGGGGTCGACCGCCTCCCTCCCTTCGACAGCCACCCGAATCGAGTAACTCGTACCGCGCACATGTCGCTTAAACTTAAGTACTTACTGTGCTTACGTTAGTTAGTTAGCTGGTGGCTAGCTAGCTAGCTAGGTAGGTAGGTAGGTAGGTAGGTAGGTAGGGTCTGGCAGATCGCTCCTTCGGCCAAAATCTATGTTGAATTGTTTTCTTTTTCTCTTCTCGTGCATGCATGGCATGCATGCACGCATTACCTTTTCGCTAGACTAGATAAATGGATAACTAGAGAGTTGGTAGAAGAACGCCTGGAACAGGGCTGGATTAGCCCATCGCTGCATATGAATGACTATGTAGGCAGCAGCTGCTGTAACTAGTAGCAGTAGGTAGCTGGAGATTGAGCTGAGCTAAGCTGTGTTCCCATGATTGCTTTCAGATGGGACACTGTTCTATGAATGCTAGTGAGTTCATTAGGTGGTCGGATACTACATAGAATAGTTGTCTTCACACCCAGTACTGGCCCCATAACCTTTTGGCGGTCTCGTCTCCTCGGAAGCGGAATTCCACGCGGATGATGTCTTGGAAGCCTTCTTCCATTGCCGGTTCTTTGAACCGGCGGAGGAAATCTCCAAAGGCGATTCCGGGGAGAAGGGTGCGTGATTCGGGGTTCTGGGTATTGAATGAAGGGTTAGTATTGAATATACATCGACTGGTGGAATGGTGTATGTATGCATGTATGGGTATAGGTGTGTCTGATGATCTGATTATGGGCCACGATACACCTGTGACCGTTGGGGAAGATAGTATTGATGGGTGGAGTTGGTATAACCACCGCCTACCTCCCTTCGATAGACTTGAATTGGGAGAGGACAAGCTATAGGTTTGGGTGGAGGGGAAGAGGGGACAATGGGGATGCAGTGCACGCGCATCTTCATCTCGCACGGACTTACCAAGGTTTGATTTGCGGCACGGACCGCATTGTTATGCCGGCAGAGGGCCGGGGAAGCTGTGAAATAGACACAACGAATCGGGACGTTGAATTCCTTAGCGACTTCTACCCAGTGGGATCTGGTTTCCGGGTCGGCGTTGGTGTTGTCTGTGCGTCTGATCAGCGACGAAATCTAACCGTTCGTGCATTTGCAATAAAACCGTGGTTACTGAGGAAGAGGGGGGATGGATCGCAATATGGGCTAGGGTTGGTGTAGCCTGGCTAGACTCGAGCCCGGGAAATCGACATTTTAGACCGTCGGAGTGTCAATGCAAGGGTGGGTGGGTTGGTCTCTTGGGGAAAGACTGCCCCGTTCATAACGTTCACGTACCGACAACCACGGATCTTCTGGCTGCAAGGTGTTCCTTTGCCACTTTGATGCACTTAGGGCGCTGTGTTAAACGGCTGGTTAGATGATAGATTATGCAATCTTGGTAGTACATAGATGTGGGTTGGTCGTTGAGGCGTCTATCTGCTGCGCGAGCGAAGCCCCTGCCACTTGTGGGCTTGGCGTAGAAGGGGGTGTTGGAAGGAGGTAACCCGTATAAGGGCTGACGATATAATGAAGAAGACGTACAGTTTTGAGCAGATCTTGGTTGACTCGTTCGTATTTCAGCGGTTCTAGATATTCCCAGTAGAATGAGGATTTGCCCGCACCAGGGCTGCCGCAGAATATCACCAGCTCGAGAGGACTCTGGCGAGAGAAAGGTGGCGCCACTGCATCATGCAAGACAAGTTGTCAATAGGGTACTCTGATGGTCGATTCACAATCACCCCGTGCATTGAGACTCACCGTCGTCAGTTGGCTCTGCTTGCAGGTATATTGTCGGATCGAACGGTTCCACGAGTGGCTCTGGATCAGCATTGAGGAAGAACTCCTCGGGCGTCTTAAAGGGTACTTTAACATTGAGTGCAAATCCGCTTGAACCGCCGTTAGCGTATCCGGTCCGTGAGTGTGCTTCAAAAGGCCAGCCTTACCGGTCGACCATAGAATGATCGTTTGGCCGTCCAGCAGCGTCCCCTACAAAAACGGACTCTGCCAGATTGACTCCCGACACATCAAAGTCATAGTCGTCGAGCATCTCCTTCCATAGACCTGTCCTGGGTTTCCTATATTCGTCATCTTCTGTGGCCGCATATACACTGAGAGGGATGTCCAGTTGCTTCATGACAGCCGACGCCCTCTCCTTGAAGTTGACAAGGCTCTTGGAGTCGCTCTGGCCTTTCTTAAGATCTTTCTTGAGACTGATCTTTTTTTGATTCGTTACGACCACCACGTAGTATCTGCACAGAAGAGAGATCAATATCCTGTTGTCCGGAAGCAGTCCGATCAAGGAACTATAAGTCAACCTACTACATACCCATTCTCGTTCAATTCCTTAAGTTTCCCAGGTACTGTATCATGCCACCACTTCCAGTCTGACCCATTCCTGGGGAAAGTATTTCCAGAGGCTGTCGAGACGAGCGTTGAATCCTAGGTGCGATCACCTAGTCAGCCTCGAGCTCGTGCAATGATATACCGTAAAATCGCTGAACGGTCTGGTTTTCAACTGACCAGGTCAAATGCCGCGATCCTAGGCTTCTCTGTACTATTTTTGTGACCGAGTTCCGAAGTATACTTGCCAATGACCGCACTGTTATTGACAATGCGCCAAGTGATCTGTTCGGGCTTTTTCTGAGATGCCGGAGTAAAGAAGGAGGAAACAGCTTTTTCTAGTATTTATCAACCCTATTAGTATAGAAACGTACGAAAACAGAATAGGTATGCCTCACTAGTTATGGTGGACTCAACCTTCCTTTTGAGTGGAGGCGGCGAAATAGCTCGAGTGGGGGAAGCTGTACGTTTCACGCCCCCGCCGCCGGCCATCCTGAGATACTGGAGTCTGGAAATAATCTTGAATATGTTTGCCGGGTACCGTGGTTCTGAATCTAGCCGAAAGAGAGATAAACTGCGACTGGATGGCTCGAACTGGTGTCGGATTCAATAGCGGAAGTCGACGCGCTGACGCGCGCCTGAATTTCGCGAAGTCACATGCTTATATTGACGGCTCATTGCACCCATACAGTTGATGGATGCTACAACTGCACCGCTGACATCAATTGAATCAAGTGAGGTGTATATTTTCAGTTAAAGTTTGCTTTCCTAAAGAAGATCTCAGCACTTTTTTTTTTAAAGGCTCCTAATGACAAATTTGAATTTCGAATGATTTATCTACTGAGAGCCATCAACTCCGGGGTATATAGCACGGCTAAAAAGATATGATAACACATGATTACTTCGCTCGCGTATCCAGAGACAGCCGATCCGCCATCTCTAGACGGACGGCCGACTTGAGCTGCTCGCGAAGCCCGAACAAATGCTGCGAAGCCGTCCTCATCATCTCCTGATTCCCGCCGTCCTGGACGGTGATAGCAGCTTGCAGGACATAGCTCCCTGTCCGTTCCAGCGGTGAGAGTTCCTGATAAGCAGGCAGCTGCCGACGAGGTCCATGTGATTCCTGCGTCCCCGTCGGGTAAAGCAGGACACGGTGTAGGAAGATAACGATGTCATTGAGAACAAAGACATCCCCTTCCACCACGTACTCAGTGACAAAGCTGAACCCAGTTTGTCAGCTGACTAGGACCAATCAAGATACGAAGGAGCTGGATATGCGCCGAGGAGTACGGGATGCTACTAACCTATAGCCCCAGGCATTCATGGGCGCCGTGATATCACCTTTGGGCAGCGTGGCACTGGCCATCAGACGAGCAGTTACGGCGGATCGAGTGCCTGCCTCGGGAATATCTCTGAACTCAAGTTTCCAGGGCTGGTCCTCGTAACTGTAAGACGATGAAGACGACGAAGGCTTCTCCTCCAATCCGGACATGGAGACATCGGGATCTCCAGATGAGGAAGGGTTCCCGCCAAAGTCGGCTTTGGCGACGGGACCGACTACTTGGGTATAGAACATGCCGCCATTGAGCATTTTATTAAGGCGCTGCAATTCGACACCCTGCAGATCTTGACTGGCCCCAACCCGGGTGGTGGTCAAACCTGGTTTGCGGTAGGCCTTGAAAACCAAGCGTCTTTCCAGGCGGTGACGGGGTTGCATGGCCGTCAACCCGGCCAGCTGTTGAAGGAGCTCATGATGCTGGTGCGCGGGGACCGAGGCGAAGAGCAGAAGCTCATGCATAATCGCAAGAGGAAGAACCGGGGTAGAAATCGAGACGAATAAGAATAGAAATCGGGAGTTCGTTCGAGCCTGTCTGTAGCTCCCTTAGCTCCGGCCAGCTTTGCTCAGGGTAAGACGGAACACATCAGGCAAAGCCGCAAATCAGGCAAAAAGCACGGGTGAAGTCGGGTCGGAGACACCTTCCGAGTGTCCACTTTGGTCCGGCCGGTAAGTAATATTGTTATGGTACGGTAACTGCCAGACAAGTCTCGATAATTCAGTAGTAACACAATAGTTGAATAACAACCATCCACTTTCTGGCTGGGCGGAAAACGCGTGGGGAGATAATAATCATGTGATATCACGCGATTGTAACTCCGAGGAGAGTAAACCAGGGATTCAGTGTGAGCGGCAAATGCTAGAAGGCAAAGTTTAAGAAGACAACAAATCAATCAACCATAAAAGATTTTTTGAGATTTAAACTTTAGGATTTTTTCTTTTTCCCTGTTCCTCTAATATTGCTTGTGTTGAAAATTTCCCTTTTTGGACAGGGCTAATTGGGGTAGACTTATCCGAGTACATGCCAAGATGGGGGAGGGGAAGGAATTTACTATTAGTGAATAGTAGTGAGGGTGAGTTGCCCTTCTTCCCAGGGCTTGCGGGGATCAGATCCCGGAAGGTAAAAAGTACAAGTACAGTCTTAGTTCTTACGCAAGAGTGAGGGTGTACGTATGTATGTGCATGTGTGAGGGGGATCACGCCAGACTACGTACTTGTGATGTTTCTCCGCTCAGGTGATCTAAGATAAGAGAGGGTTTGTTACACCAACTGGAGCATCATAACGTCCTCCGGGGAATCCTACGAATGAGGGGAAGGCGAAAAGAGACGTGCAGTGGAAAAGCGTCGGGAGGAAAGGCGATTAGAAGGAAGCACCGATGCAGGTCCCCCCAAATCCAAACTCACTGGCCAGTCAGGCACGGGTCTTCCTTCACCGGGGATGCGGGTTTGGGCAAGGATCGGGGCCGTCGGGAGTAATCATCAGGTGTCAATCATCCTAACACTATCAGTCGAGTATCTGATTTGGGGAAAAGATGGAGAACATGATGTCGTCGCTATCGAATTGGCAATGACCAGCTAGTACCGACTCGACCGAATAGTCTCTGATCATACCACAAGCAGCATACAACCAGACGTTGAGGAGTAGTAATCGTGCCAGATTGATGGAATGGTGGAAGGCAAAAGCCCGGATCACAAAATCCGGCGGCGGGTTTCTCGTTAATAACCCGTATTACTCCATACTTACCACCAAAGCTGGGCTTATCAAAAACCCACACCCTCGCTTCCGCTCCGACCCTCGTCGGCATTTTCCCTCTCCTCCTCATTCATTTCTCTTCCCCTTCCCCTCCAACAGTCTTTCCAATTCTTCTCCTGCTCTTTTCCCTTCGTCCAGACAGCCTTCTGTACAGTCCTTGCCTCTTTACCTTCTCTCAAAATATATAGGCCTTCTGTGTCCTTGTCGTGGAGAATCCGCCTGCTCTTCAAAGCTTCCTCTTCCACTTCCAACTTATTAATCGCTTAATTCGGTCGCGTCGGACACCAGCGGTTTCTCTCGATTCCTCGCTTTTCATCCTTACGACTACCATCTTATAATCTATAACCCTATCTTCCTTACTCCTACTATACAAAATGCGTGCCACTTTTGCTCTCCGCAGCGCTGCCCGCACCCCCCTCATCCGGTTCCTCGGCCGGCGTTCCGTGCCTCGTATGCATTCCTTTCCACCCGTCAATTCTACGCGCCTGCCTCTTTGTCTAACATGACCCATCTCCAGAGTCCGTTGACCACACCCCCCGTCCTCACCCCGCTTCTCCTTCCGGAATCCTCCCGGACTCTTTCGCCGCCTACCGTATCAAGGCTCAGCAGCACGGCCCCCTTGGCCGTGCCTCTTTCTCTCAGGGCATTGGCCGCAGCGCTGGTGCCTCCCTGGGCCCCGTTCAGCCCAAGCAGGGTGAATTCTTCGACCGCGACGAGCTTCCTGCCCGTTTCCACCGCCTTCCCTGGTCCGAGGCCGAGATTGAGGCCATTGAGACCGGCGGTGCCAGCCTGTTCGCGTAGATCATTCCAGGATCTCCCTCAACGAGAGATGACGCAACGGTAGCGGTCACGGTTTGGTGATTGACGAATACTATCACGTTAAGATAGAGTACGACCATCGGCATGGGGCCGTGGCAGCCGTTGTTCTCCCAATTCAACCATGGAGTAACAGGCGAGTTGTGGGGCCTGGTTCGTCTCGCATCATCGGAACTTGGATGGTACTATAATCAGGGGCTGGGAGCACCGTCGCATACTGGTGATGGGTCGTTTGTTGGCATTGTCCAACCAGGAGCTGCTTCCGTCCCTGCACTTCTTCGATTGCTTCTTTTTATGCTTTTCTTTTCGGTCACGGCGCTGGTGGTTGCTTGTTTCGGAGCTTAGCGGTTTGGATTCCTTGTATTTGGGGCGCGACACATGACGGATGCTTTCTTGTTGTCTGGCTGGGGCTTGCTGAGATATCTTCGGATTTCTGTGCATAGATGGTTGTTTCATTCGGATCCAAAAGTCTGCTGCATGTTGGACTATCCTCGGTTTGCGGGGCTTTGTTTGAGTTCTTTCCTGAGGTTTATTAGTACTATACAGGGGCTCGAGGAGACCTTGAATACGATCAATCAATTCAACATAACTGTTTGCAGTCACGTAGTCTACTGTAGAGAGATACTGGTCATCCATCCGCGATTCTGCCGGACTGCAGCGGACAGATGTCATGACACGTGCCCGTATTCTTAGCGTCAACTCCTGCCACGCAACAACAACTTTCTATACAACTTCCATCGAGCTACGCGTCTCCAACATCGCGTCAGCTCTCAAACGGGACTTTCATCGAGACCAAGAGGAACGCGCGCATATAATGGCACCTAAAGAGGACAGCACCGCAATAACGTTCACCGAGGTGGACGAAGTCAATCACCCTACCGCAACCTACATTTACTCCGAGCCCGCAGCGGGCCCTGCACGTCCTGAGCAGGACAAGAAGCTTGGAGAGAATTGGGGACGAGTGGATGTGGCAGTAAGTGATAACTAATGTTACCCAATCTGAGCACTAGGCTGCAAAGCTGTCATTCCGATTTAACCATTTGCTTGGTAGCATGCTTCCTCCACTACTCTGGCAGCTTGGTCTTCAAAGAGCGTTCTAGACTTTCTGGTTGAGGTCTTCCTTCCTGCTGGATATCCCCACAGTGTCACGGATGATTATGCGCCGTAAGATACTGTTGATCTCTCTCCCTAGCATTGGGCTTTACTAAATCATACAGATATCAATTGTTTGTATGTAGAAAGCGTTAAAGCCGAAGCACTACCTTACTTGCCCCCTATCAGACTAGACGGCTAATCCACGAAGGACTCTCTCCAAGCCTTCAGCAGCTCGATTGCTGGTCTCCTATCCTCGAGAGCAGTGCTGCAAGGTCGGTAGCTGTTTTGTTTGCACCAAACAGCTTGTCCACAGACTACATACCCATGCTAACAGCCCTTAGGTGTTGGAGTTGGCAACGCCGATGCCTCACCCACCGCAGCCCTCCTGCTGCATATACTACAAGATTCCTCTGGCCGGATCGCGACGATTCTCTTCGCGCACCGGGTCGGTACTGCTCTCGAGCCAGAATGCAAGATGTACCGGCTGGCAGCAGACGTCTTCAACGATCTAGCAATGATCCTCGACTGTCTCTCGCCAATGACCCCAGCAGGTGCTCCTCGAGTCACTGTACTCAGCACAGCAGGTGTCCTTCGAGCTCTATGCGGAGTAGCAGGGGGAAGCTCCAAGGCGAGTCTAAGTGCACATTTCTCTCGCTGGGGGAACTTAGCTGAGGTCAATGCCGTAAGTGAATCAATCGTTATTCGAACCCTGCGCCTGGGACACAACCACTAATCTCTTGTCAACAGAAAGACTCATCGCAAGAGACAATCATATCCCTCATTGGCATGCTCGTAAGCCAGACATACCCTAACTACTACAGCCCATCTACCCCAGAGCAGACCTGACCAAGAACCTCACAGGTCGGCTCCTTCGTCGTCTCCCGCGTGACCAATTTCTCCACAACCTGGATATGCCTCTTGATGCTTCTAGCCCTGCACCTCAGTCTCAACTATGCAGCCGTACGCTCCGTCCAAATGACCAGTCTCAACAGACAGCGAGCCAACATCGTCTTCTCAACTCTCCTAAGCACCGACCCAGACCTCACACAAATCCTCCACCCAGAGCCCACCAAACAACAACAGCAGCAGCAAACCCACCAAACACCCTCCTGGAAGACCCTAACCCCAGCCCACGTCTCCAAACAAGAGAAAATCTTCGAAATAGACGGCATCCTCCGCTGGTCCTCCTCAACAACGACTCCCCCTCAACCCCTCGGTTACTGTCGTATAGGCATCTCTCTGCAACAATTCCTCTCCTCGTCTGCACTATCCACCACATCTTTTAAATCCCTCCGAACCCCAATCCCAATGCCCCAACTCACCACCCTCTTCAGCAAAGAAGAATACATCCTCTACCTCACCACCAACCGCAGCAGCAGTAAGAAGAACCCAACATGGCACGCCAACATCCTACTCAAGAATACTACTACAAGTCAATCCCAGCTCAAGGCATGGGCGCATGCCTTGCTGGCTGCAAGGGTTTTGTTGACGTCATCAGCAGCAGCAGCGGATTCCATCAACACCTCAGACCAGATTGGATCTACGATGGATGTACTGCACCGGACGTTGGAGTTTCTGAATGAAGGGTCGAGGTTCGATCGGTATACGACTGTGTTGACGGACAATGGCTGGGATTTGAGCATTGCTGCGTTGGAGACGAGGTCGGGAAGGAGGGTCGTGGTGTAACTAACGTAGCTAGCTTCTCATGGCTCATTGGTTTACTTAGTGTACTCGTGTGTAAATCAGTGATGAAGGTGGTCTAAAGAAGATCATTAATGCTTTGTGGCGATCGATAAATAGGTATTGAATATGTAGGAGCACTGTTGATGGGTGCGATAAGCTTTCAATACTGACGATTTATGACAAGGCAGTCTACTCAATCCTACGTTTGAGCACGGAACAAGGTGAAGATAAAAAGCATCCAATCCATGGGTATCTATCGACCAGTACACAGTGATGCTAATGCTAATGCTAATGCAAAGTGTGATGCTAAAACACGGAGGAGAAAGGAAAAAAAATGCAGTTGTGCCCTCTGACAGAAGGGGGATAAAAGACAACTCCCATGCACGCACACATCAACAAAATGTCACCTCGACACTCCACACCACTCCCCCTTGTGAAAGATTCAATATGGATACACACACACACACAAAACGCCAAGAGACATAACCACCATCCCGTTTTGGAAACCCCCAAGTCTATATGGTTTTGATGATGACAAATGGAATGATGCACGCTGGGTCGCTTGCTTCAATGCAAGTGGAAGAAAAAAAAAGGCAAAAGAAGATGACAGAACGCCGGAATATGCTTAAATCATAATGCACATGCATTACACCGTCCACTCGTAGTCAGTGAGTCAATGCGACATATTCGCTCAATAACCGAGAGATCAATCATATATGCGGTATCAGGTTATGCAGATCGGATCATGCGGTCTAGCCGATGCGGTGAGAGGAGTAGAGATCAGGATGCCATTTTTGGCGATCCGGCGAGAATTCGGAGCGAAGAAGGCTTGTTAGTGATGAAGGACATCATCAGAGCTTTGAAGCTCTGCCAGATGGGGTGGGATTTTGGTAAGGTTGTTTTCGGCCGGTTTTGAACGGCCAGTCATTCGTCCATGCCAGACAACTTGAAATGCTGGTTGCCGGAGCCTCCGTGACCTGAGCGCTTTTTGAAGCCCAACTTCAGTCCCATCTTTTTCCATGGGTTGTCGGTGCGCTTCGGGCTGTGGGCCAGGTGCATGCAGTGAGGATCACTGGAGGGCGGCGTAGTCGGCGGTGTCATTGGTTCGCCTGCACTGGCACTCGATTGCAAGCTTCCAGAGTCATCAGTCAACGCGCCAGACCCGGAATCTCCGCTGGCGTTGGAGACCTGCCCCAGAGTCCGATGGCCGACCTTACCCATGGAAGTCATTGCACTCAAGGAGAAGTTCGAGCGGCTAGGCGGAGAACCGACGGACACCGGCGATCCCAGATCCTTGGAAGACTGGGGAGACTGCCGTCTCCTCTTCGATCGGCCCCGACTGGCCGTGTGCTCGTCGAAGCTGGAGTTCGATACGACGGTGATATCATCCTCGTGAGAGAACAGCGGCTCCGATAGCGGCAAAACGTGAGCGGTCGAAGCATGCGAGTTGAGAAACGGCAGAAAGATCGACTCCTCCATCAGATCATGGACGAGTTTTACGGCAGCGTCCAGAGTTTCGGGCAGCGGCGGGTTAGGGAGATTAGCGTGTCGAAGGATGTCATCGCGGACCTCGCTGGAGACGTTGATCTCTCGTGGAGATCCGGGCAGAATGTAAGCGGTCAACAGTCGCTGCCAGAGCATACGCAGATGCTGGCTGCCGGTGCAGTCGGTGACGATGGGCGATTCATTCAGCTGGCGGCTCAGGGCATCGTATGTTTCCCGGTACCGCTTAGCCTCCAAAGTGAATTCCAGGGTCTCCAGACAGTGGTTCTGCGAGAGATAGGCCATAAAGGCACTGAGGGTGTATGGGGCAGGTGCAGTGTTGGCCAGCACCTCATCTAATGAGGGACGCATGGGACAGAAAGCACCCGGAGGAACCGTCAAACTCAGCGGACGCGAACCGGAGGAGTCCATGTCCTCGTCCGACTCGCTGTCCGATGAGGAAGACGTGGGAGAAAGCTCAGGGGTGGTGCTGGGAGTATGGTGTCGGAAGAGTATGGGAGGATGCAGGGTCTTCTTTTTAAGCATCGCGTACAGCGTGCGTCGGTCACTGGGGTACGGCGCAGGTGTGGTGAAGCCCCGAAATCCACCTCGTTGTTGCTGTAATCCTCCGAGACAGCCCAGGCAGTGAATCCGGTACTTCGCCAGTCTCGAAAGCTGAATGGCCACCCTTTCCGGAGAGGCCAGACTCGTCGATAGGAGAAGCCGTGTTTCAGATGGTGAAGCGTAAAGAGAGACAGCGCGACGGTGAGGCGGCGGCACTGAGCGGGTAGAAAGGCTGAAGCGAGACCCGGCGATAAGGTATTGGTGGTAGTCGTGGTAATAGTATTGCAGGGTAGAGTTGAGTAGATAAGGGAAGACCTCAGTTAGTGAAGGATTGAGATCTGTTGGTGGACAAAGGATTGATTAGTCGTTTCGATGTCCCGCAGCAAGGGTATAGGCAGCAGCAGCAGCGGTTTTCCAGAAGGGTCAGAGAAGACGGGGGGTGTGATGGGAGTGTATCGGAGGAGGAAAGTTGGTAATTGGGGGCAAGGAAAAAGTAAAAAACGGTTGTTAATAATAAGAGACAGGACTAAGGCCAGGCACAGCGATAGTAGTAAGTTGTAAAGGGAATTGAGAAAAGAAAAGAAGATGACGCCACAGGAGACACAGCCGAATGGCAGAGGGAAGCGAGAGGGGGGGGGAATGACTGGTAAGTATTCAAATAAGAGGAGGACCAGCCATATCCAGAGGGTGTGAGTGAGAGAGTAAAGTGTGAGTGAGAGAAGAGTCGAAGAAACAAGGCAGGACGGGCCAGTGGTGGGTGGAGTGAGGTGATGCCGATCAGGACCCCTTCAAAAGTTCTCAGAACCTGCACGGAAGCGTCGAGCACCCGGGGGGAAAGAGCGAAAGAGCGAGAGAGAGCCAGAGAGAGAGTGAGAGGAGGGGGGGGGGGCCACACAGGAAAGTGAGTAAGTGGAGTGGAGAGAAGCCAGCCAGACAGAGAGAGGGGGGTGGGGGGCCCGCCAGAAAGTGAAAATCGAGAAGAAAGTGGATGGATTCGCTGGATTTGCTGGCCCACAGGAACAACCGGCGGCCCAAGATTTCCTCACTTCCAGAGCCCATCCACGTTGGCTGGCAGTGGATGCTCTCCCTCTGCAATTCCCATGGGAACCTCGCCTTCCCACACCACGAATCACCGCTGACGAGACTTCCCGGTCGATCGTACCCAGGATGAGCCCCCAGCCTATCACGCCGAGTTCGGCGGGTCTCCTCAGCCAGTCACAGTTGCAGCCCAAAGAAATAATGCCACCCACCCCTCCCAAAATGTAAAAGTAAAAATCTAATCGGGAAAGAAAAACAGGGAAAAGTGAAAATATTTCCAAAAAGAAAATCGTCACTTTTGGAGAGACAGAAAGAGGGAGAGAGGAGGGGGGGCTGCGTATTTCTTTGTCTCCTCCTTCCCAATTTGGATTTCTCTCATTTTCTTTTTTCTTTTCTTCTTAAATCCCTAATTCCGCTTATTCTTCAAAGAGAGAAGAAGAAATCAAAGCTGGGAAGGGGAAGAAGGCCGGCAGGAAAAAATTCCACGCTGATCATGAAAGCAACAATGACTGACTGACTGACTGACCCCAGGCAGACTTTCTAGAACCAGACACACACGTTGGAGGGATGAGGACTACGCGGCTAGTAGATAGTAACAGAGGCATGGCCAACCAGGAGAGAATCACGTCATGCCCCTAAGGCATGCCTCAGACACTAGCCCAGAGAGTGACTCGCAACCATTGCAACCCAAAAAGGATCTGAGAGGCCAAAATGTGGACCATGAATCGAAATTGGCTCCCGTCGCTGGTCTTGAATGGATCACCAGAACGCGCGATGGATCTCCGGCCGATGAAGTAATAATCCAGAGTTCCAGCTGCTGGATGTGAGGCCGAAGGTGGGTCCAAAGCAACGCAAGTTTAGCGTTGGGGGCAGTCAAACTCGATGGTGCAAGGTCGTGTTGTGTGTGGTTTGTGCTGCTGCTGCTGCTGCTGCCGCCGCCGCTAACTACTCAATCCCATCGTGGTGTGGAATATAAAACCGGCCATGGTGGATCCTGGCGCTTGTTTCTTCTGCCCTTCAACAATGAATGACTCGAGAAGAGGGCCCTCTCTCAGCTCTGTGGATATCCCATCTGCCTTGGCCTCGCGTAGTGCTCACTACCACTATGACTGTCTGGCAGTCTGCGGTTGTTGCTATGATGGTATAGACCAGGTCGATCGATCGATCGACCAGCGGACCCCAAAGCAATATCCCGTCATGGATTGCAGTTGAAACAGCATAGTGGAGCGACCGAAAATATGACAAGCACCATGGGGTAACAACAGAGCCAACACGAAAAAGATCAAGAAAATAAAAATACAAGATTACAAAGAAAGGAAGGGGCCGAAGGAATGGACCCAAAACCGTAACGAAATTGAGGGAAATAAGAAAAAATAGCTTTCTAGAAAGAATGAAGGAGAAACCAATGTCGTTCACTCACCATGCGTCAATTGAAATGCGACCTCCCGCAACAGAATATCCGTAGAAGGAGACCGGCAGCAAGGGGGCGGTCGCCAAAACGCGCGTTCAACGCCAATATATCTCAACGGTGCAGCAACGAGGGAGGGAAAAAATCGCTCAGGGCTGATCAAAAATGATAGATAGCGGAGCTTATGTAGGTTGCAGGCAAGTAGGCAGGCAGGCAAGCCGAAGAAGAAGCAGGCGTGGAGTTTAATGTATGTATGTATGAATGTATGCTGTAGGTATTCAACGCCCCGGTAGACAGAAGTAGAAAGGTAAATATGATATATGATATGATGCACCCTACAGCAACAAGCGAATTTCCGCAACGGGAGAAGGATAGTAGAACAAAATTAGAAACTCGGACTGCAACAACTCATTAGGCGCCCAGGAACCGGATTTCTTGCAGCTTTTGTATGGAGAAGGCGCCTGAATTCAATGCAGAAAGCTTTGATCAAGTTGATTGCCTGATGCGGTTT